CGTCAGAGAGTAGTAAGTAGACGAAACAAGTCGAAGTGGCATTCGCCTCCAATCCTCGGGCGCGTGCGAATAGGGAGGATGGAATTGCGTAATATTTTGCACACTCATCGCCATACTCAAAACCACACGCTCCAAACGACCACACCACTGTGTGGTGGTGTTCGCTTGTCGAAATTAGTAGCAGCAGTAGCAGTGCTTTCGGCGTGTGGCGTTGAAAATTGTTCTCCAGAAACAACGAAAGGCTGGCTGCAAGCAGCGAGCTGCAGAGCCCACATAAGCAACCATCAAAGGAGGAAGAAGCTGCACCGCTATGCTATGGATAGGAATCAGTAGCTCTTCGTGAGTCGCTGCTGGTCGGTCATCTATGCCAAGCGTGTCACCCTCGCTCCAAAGACATACAGCTCGACAGCCTCATTTGTGTTGAACACCCAGCTCAGAATTACAGGGCCACCAAAAATTTGTTAAAGAGTATTATTTGGACATTGGTCAAGGTCATCAGTTCCCGCAAGCAGCTAGCTATCAAGGCTCAACCTGTCTATAGAAGGTGTGTAATTGTAGGCCTGAATATATTGGTGCAATTAGTTTATCCTCGGCTTTCATTCCGCACGATTGGTTTCTTTCGTTTAATCAATCACCCTTGTAGTGACGTCGAAAAGATTGTTTCAATCGGCGCTGATATGAAATTTAATGTGGATTATAGAATTTTTTGTATGTTACCAAAATTTATGAATGGTTTGCCACTAAATGTTGAGATAATTTATTGATTATTGAATTATCACACTGTATACCTTGAAAAAGCAGCCTGTTTGTGAGTTTTTGCCTGTTTTCAAGTAAGGAGTTATCATAAAAAAAAAAAAAACAAATCGCCAGCTGGTATTTCCCGGCGACTTTACAAATAAATAAAATCAAACAAAATCATCATGCAGAACTAGCTAGGACTTGCTTTACTTCATATTTCACAAAATTGCTTTCGAGTGTTTAGACATCGTCTCCCGCAAAGTTTACATTTTTCCCTCTACCAACACATACATCAGGGCTAGATAGATCTCCACAGGATCTGTAGAATCTATGCAATTTAAAAAAACCAAACACAGCATTACGAAAAGAGGTCAGGTTTCGACCAATAGCCAGTGCGCAAAACAGTTAGGTCCATTGAGTCATTTTGATATGAATATGAACTACCATCTGCCTCATCATTCACTACCTCGTGAGAGTCTGAATGATTCAGAGGTAAACGAGTCACTGACAGCCGAGCACTCAGTCAGTAGCTCAGTTAACACGTTTATTCAGCCGTGATGGTACCCAATGTTTGTTTTGAATGACTGAGCGTACATTTTCTATGGAAAAATGACTCAATTACATGCTGTGTTTTGTTAAGCTCTACCAATAGCAGATAGATTTTAATTCTAAACAAGCCAAACGGTTGGAAATGTATCTACCAATCTGCTAAAATGAACACTTAGTTAATTTTCAATAGGTCACTATTGGAAAATATCAAATGTCCAACTGTTGCAATGGTGATCAAAATTATCACCGACTGTCTGAAAACAGCGAGTTCCCTAACACAGACTTAAAAATCGAATTCGATGCGGTCCCACTGAACGGTGCTCATTCAATCACTGTAAGTGGTGGTGTCCAGTCCAGCAGCAGCAGCAGTAGGAGTGCTTTCAACAACAACAACAACGAAAGGCTGCCTGCAAGCAGCGAGCTGCAGAGCTCATATGTGCAACCATAGAGAGGGAGGAAAAAGTCCCACCGCTAGGCTAGGATCGGAATCAGTAGCTCGTCGCGCTCAGCTCAGCATTACTCAACCACCATAAATTTGTTAAGAGTATTATTAGCAGCTTGCTATCAAGGCTCAACCTGGTCTCTATAGAAGGTGTGGAATAATAGGCCTGAATGTATTGGTGAGATTAATCATCGTCCGACCATTTTCCAAAACACGCTGGTAGGAAGTGTTAAAAATCCATATAGAAATTGAGAGAAGTGGGAATAATTCGCTTTGGGTGTATATTCAGTCTCCAGAAGCCAATAAAATCAAATTTGTGAAGTCCCTCACAAACGATACTTTCCGCCCCTCCCCATTCATATAATTCGGAAGGAAATCCTGTGAGGGGTTAATTGAATACACTTTAATACCAAATTGCACAAAACTTAATACTCATTTGAAAGTCGGGTAGATGAATCGAAAATACTCAAGTTGACAGTCTCTGGATTCTCTTCATCAACTCTTTGAAATAAATACTACAAATTTGATACGCTTACAAATAAAAAACGGAAAGAGTTAAGATAATTGATGATTGATCAATTAAAAGAACTAAATGTTCACATTTGTTCCGTCCACTAGCAGTCCTACGTCAAGCTTCCGTTCGTGCCCCTAGGCACAAACCCTTCTACTTTTTTTCTTTTTGATTTGTTCGTACGTCGGGCAAAAAATTTAATTACTAGTAATTAAAATTAATTAATTAGTGAAGGTTTTAATTTTTTTTCCTTCTTAAGTGGTTGCGCACCGCTTTTGCGCAACACTTATGGCATCTTCCGATGCCTACGTTACGCGAACCAGATACTATGAACCGTCTTCGAAAGGACCATGGGTTGTCTTTTTTCGGCCCAAAAATAAACCTTTGAAAACTCTCGACATAACGAGAGATTTGCTGCGTAAGTATCCGGGAATCTTGGTACACAAAGAAAGATTCAACAAACTGCGTGTAGAAGCACCGACTTATGATGTGGCAAATAAAATTGCTGAACACGAGCTTTTTAGTGTTGAGTATAACATCTACATCCCTTCTCGAGATGTGGAGATAGAAGGCGTGGTCTCCGACGCGAGTCTGACTGTCGAGGACTTGAAACATGCCTCGGGAACTTTTAAAAACTCGACATTCGCTACCGAGTGAAGATACTGGATGTAAGGCAACTGCATTCAGCATCTTTGCTAGACGGTAAAAAAAGTTTATAAACATTCAGACTCGTTCCGGGTGACTTTCGCAGGTTCAGTTCTCCCAACACAGAACATCATCTGAATCTCCATCATTCCTCTCCCACAGGAGAAAATACGAAACTTCCATCGGAACTGACAACAGCGGATATATCCCTTCGTTGAACGGCGGCGGTGGTATAGTGGTAAGCGTGATTACCTCTCACCCCAGAAGGCCTGGGTTCAATCCCAGTCGGCGCCGCCGGGATGTTCTGAGGCATAACATCTCTGATCACGCCTTCCTTCGGCTGGGAAGTAAAGCCGTTGGTCCCCGGTTCATGAGTTTATGGGTCGATAGGTAGGGTCCAGGTGTGGGAGCTGCCTTTCTGGCACGTCGGTAGCATTGGTGCTCAGCACGGAAAACAAGATCGACGGAAAAAACAAACCAAAGGAAAAAAAAATATCCCTTCGTTTGGCCATAAAATCCTGTAGCCACGGACTTTTCTAAAAAAAATGTTATCGAGTAGCAGAGCGCCCGACCCAAAATGTGAAAAAAAAAACGCTACGAAAAAACATAAACAAACAATTTTTAAGTTTCTGGGCGTCCATGTTTGCACTACATTTGCGAACTACAGCAAACCAGCACTATTTCTCGGGTTTGCTTGTCACCAGTCACCAGTTGAAACTATTAAAATACTTTGAAAATTTAAAGGTTTCGAGTGGAAAAAAATGACAGAAAAAAAAACAAACACGTCCACTCGGAAACATAGCCTACTTCGATCCCAAAATTAACGAAGATAATACAATAAAAACTGGAAAATTGGGATTTGAATAGGTGCTCGTACCTACTCAAGGAAGAGAGGATTATTTATGGATATTAATAAATATAATCCAGAGTTAAATATATATATTCCACTTATTTGAAAAATCTGAAAAATATTATATATAATAAAAAATCTATAATCTGTATAAACATATATCTGTACCAAAATGTTGAGAAAATTCTGTATCATTACATATAAATCTGTATATGTGGCATCACTACGACGACGAAAGCACTCACATCGGCTGCTCATTTTATAAAGGCGGGACCAATCTAACGTTAGGTACTCTACTCTGGAATCTGTGAAAGGGAATCTACACAGCTAAAAAAAAGTAGTGTATAATGTAGAACAAAACGTCCAATGTAACGCTCATTGATTATGTTATTGAGAAAAATCGTCCAATGTGAGATGTCCGATGTCAAAACGTTCCATGTGGTTTATTTTCTATATTGTAGCATGAAACTTAAAGTAAAATTGTGATTTTACCGTTTCTACTGAATTTTCAACGTTATTATTCACTGACTTCATTGAAAATAGTATTGCAAAATGTATTGTTTCTAAACAGTTAAAATAATAATCTGTCGAACTTCAACTTTGATTTTCTCAATATGGTTGATATGTTACATTGGATCATGAATAGACGAGTGCACTTGTGAACTTTTGTTCATCTACTGAAAAAAAAAATTACAAAACAGCGGAGCACTGTTTATTAAAAATGAACACATGAATAATGCTCGCATAACATTTGAAAAGGGATTATAAATTTTTGTAAACAACTGTCTTCTCGTGTCCTTTTCACGAGAACCAAACTACACTCACGTAAACCAAGAGCACTATCGGAAAAAGGAAGAATTTCTCCTACCCGATGGTGTTGTTAGTTTACGTGGGCGTATTCGGTTCGCGCGAAAAGAAGTTTTGTGTACAAAAGTTACTAGGCCCAGTTCAAATGTAACGCGGGTATTATTTATGTGTTAATTTTTAGTAAACAGGGCCCCGCTATTGTGTCACTTTTTGTCGAGTGAGTGAACTCAAATCCATCCGTGCTACTCGTTAATGAGTAGGTGCGGCGTCGCACGAAGGGTTCCATCCTTTCTAGTACAAAAGTAAGCAAAGGCATTAGCTTTGCTTACTTTTGTACTAGAAAGTATGGATTATCTTGATACCTTAGTACTTCTGTTCGTAAAGTGATACCAGAATGTGGGTATCCAGAAGAAGTCCCGAAACACACTGTTCGAACTTTAAGTATTAACGGAGAGGCCTTATGCCTTCTTATAAAATGACTTCATGTAGTTCATCGTTTTCTGGTGAGCATCCATACTATCCTGTATTTTCCTCGACAATTCTGCATTTTCATCAAGCGAAATCTTGCTTCTTGCGGCATCCAACTCGGCGTAGCTTACATTGCTTAGGCCGGACATAAGCCCACCCGATTGCAAATCCTCGTCACACACAATCAGCTCATAGCTTCCCTTATTATCCTTCCTGGCGGTCCGTCCTTTGATTTGGATTTCCTCCTTGATATCCATCGAAAAGAACGTTTGAACGACGTGCAATCCGCCGTTCTTCTCCACAGTTACGCTGGACTTGTAGTCGACTCCTCGGCCCATTCCACGGGTAGACAAAGTGATTGTTTTGGCCACTCCTGCTTCGTTGATGAACCTTTCTTTGTCCTTGGTGTTCTCGGTCAGCACGTTCACTCGATCTAGGTGTCCAGCATATTCTGCTTCGAATGCATTCAACTCGACTTCGGTATCGAAGAAAATGATCACCGCTCGATTGGCTTTGATGATTTGATTAGCTTTACTAAAGATGTTGGTTCTCCAGGAGGGTTTTGTGGCGTGATTTTGGAAATTGGCGATTTCGTCGAACTGGAGGTTTGAGCAGTCGAAAAACGTTGGCATCACCGAAATTTGCTTGATGTTGTACAAACGTTCAATTGTATCCTTTTCATATAGATTCAACGAAGTCAGTGTTCCGGACACGCCTACAATAAGAGGGTAGTTCTTCGGGAGCATGGCGTAGGACAAGGAACCACAGCAGATATTCAAATACCCGTAATTTTCTGTCCCATTCACCTCAGTGACAAAATTTGTCTTTTTCAATCGGAAATAGTTGAAAACATTTTCGTAACCAAAAAATGGATGGGATGCATATATTCCTCGATGATAATAGGTAATTTCTCCAGCGGAGTTCAATTTGAATTTAGTACAATACAATCCATTATTGACATTTATGGCGTCTGTTACCATCATTCCAACATGTTCGTCGAACAATGTCTTATTCGTGTGAGTTATCTGTGTTCCATCATTTTTAAATAAATTGTAATTATTTGGTCGATCGAGAAATTCTAAAAACTTCCCACCTTGCCCTTTGAATTCCCCAGTTTGAATATACTGTTGAATACGACTTTCTACATCCGTCCAACCAGCGACAACATACTTCCATATTTGCTCCTGAACAAGATCCAGTCCTGGAATCAAAGGTGCGCATACTGGGTTGTATGTATTGCCATAAAATTCTTTCGTAAAGAATACATCGACCTCGTCTATCAGCAGAATATTTTTACTCGAATCAGCCGTTACGAGTTGATGTGGAAGAATAACCTTTTCTTTGAACAGTAAATCTCTTACCAGATTTCTGAGTTCAATTGTCTGATCATCAACCTTCGGAGCTATGATTTCATTGGCTAGATCATCGAAGGTGCCGTACGTTACATCTTCAGCAACATCAAACGTCTCAAAAAAAGTGAGAAAGTCCTGCTCATCTCGCTTGGCCAAATACTCGCTGTAACAAGCTATGTGAACTCTATGACCGGTCAGTGCAAATAGTGCCGCGAGAAGTCCCAAAACCAACGATTTACCCTGTCCTGTCAACACTTGAGCCAAATGTTTGTCGATTCCTTCGTCGGCTTTGTCAGCGCTCAGCAATCGTAGGATGCACAAAATCTGGATACAATGAGGATTGAAGTACTTTCTTGCTTTAGCCACGTCCTTTGATACCAGAATCGACCACACTGCAGCCAATCCAGCAATAATGTTGGGAATTTGGTCTTGCTTGAAGCGATCGTCCCACGCCTTGAAGAGAATAGTATTTGAATGCTGAGCTTTCACCTTCTCTGCAATGAGCGCTGCTCTTTCGGAGGGCCCTTTGTCTACGGACAGTTGCATAAATTCCTCGAAAAACTTTGAATACATCGCGTACGAGTCGCGGAGCAATTGCAAATCGTATGTACTATTCAACTCGCCATACAGCTGCAGCGCGTCTTCGAAGCTGATTTCGTTCTGCTTCCTAATGTACCAGAACGACTCACGGAGGAGGTTGATGCGGTTCGAGAAGTCCTGTCGTGAAGTTGTGGTCTCGATAACGCTGTTAAACGGTTTTACACGTTCGTCGTAGAACAGATCGAACGAAACGTAATCGATCTGTTCTTTGAGGTAGAGCAGCGAATTTCTGATTGCAAAAATGAGTTCGTTAGTGGACAGTACTTGGTCCGTATCCGAAAGAATTTCATCAGTTGCCCAGGAAGTCCGCTGCAGCTGGGAGCCGATGTGCTCAAGTAGAGCTTGAATAACCTCAATTACGTAATGCTTCGGCATAGCTACTGTTATGCCTAATCCCTGACAAAATGTAGGAAACTTCTCTGGAATGAGTACCCGGTAAGTTCGATTGTTCGTATCCTTACATTTGTTATCGACCAATTCGACATGTTGCAGCTCTATAATCGATTGCATATCGAACTTGGGAATTTCTTTGATGTACCATTCAAAAGAAACTTCGTTGAGATCGATTAGAAAATCGTTGTACGTACGGCAGAATGCCTCCATCGTATCCACCTCAACGTTCTTCTCCATACCGATCTGCATGATTTTCATCAAGCGTTCTTGCAACAAATTTATCTCCGGGAGGTTTATCTTTGTCGAAAATTGATCAATGATGTCACTTCGAGTATTGCAAGACCAGTTGATCACCGGGTCGCTTTTGAGGCTGAACATATTCAGTTGTTTCTGGAGAACAGCCTTATCCAGCGATGTCATGTTATGATACGAGCAGGATTGGGCGATGAAATGAACTAGATTATGCGTGACAACGCGCAGAGTTTCCATCTGATCATACTTTGCGTCACGAATCATTTGGATATATTCATCGAACACGGTATTGAACAAATCGAGCTCACAGTTCTTCGGTAGAACATGAAACAATACATCATCCAACAGACAATACCAAACGTAGAAGTCATCTGGAACCCCAAGTGGATTCGGTTTGGAACTATCATTCGAATTTTTTGTTACGTGCATTATATTCTTGAAATTACTAACATCTTTTCGGAATGACTGGCCGTTGTTGAATAGTTGCGTCTTGTGCTGAAAAGGTTGTGTACCGAAATCCACATCAAAATGCTTTATGAGCATAAACATAAAATGGTATTCCCGTTGCAAACACTTTGTTAATGCGTTCTCCGTCTTCCAGACGAGCTGTTTGAGAGCGGACCACTCGAAACTAGAGCTCTTCAGTAAATCCGTTTCTCGATGATCAGTATGCTTAGTAATCTCGATTATCAACTCCTCCAAGCTCTTGCAAATGAAAAATAAGCTGACACTTGTCAATTGCAGAGGTTTGTCGAGGCGATTATCCCTGATCGACTTGACTTGATTGATCCAACGGTTGGCTAGATCTTGAAGAGGTTTGTCGAAAATTTCCGGTTTCAGAGCGCTGGTCATATCAGTAAACAGCTTCACATCGCTACTCCTTATCAACATCAAATGGTTCAGACCAATGGTGCCGAGTGGTTTATGCAAATACGCTGGTGCTTTCGTAATCAACTTGTTCCTGTGAAGCTCAGTAATCTCCATTACCAAGCGGTTCAGCCACTCGAAAAGATTTGGAGAATTGTCCTTTGGGTCCTTCTTCCTTTGAGACGCTGTCCGCTCTACACTGTCCAATTTTCGGGCATACCCTTGCAGCGTTTCGTTCTTAAACCGATTATTCATGACCTCACGGCAGAGATCATTATAAGTCAGTTTTCTGGATTGTTTGAATTTCTCGACAAATTTCAGCAGCTCGATTCTAATGTTGATTTGCCCTTCGTCTGCAGCCAATTGTTTGAACACATGTTCCAAGCTCGTTAGAAATTGCTTCCGGTGCTTATCCCTGTATGTGGTCACTTCATCCAGCAACACACGATTGACGCGAAGTTCATCGCGTTGCACTTTAGTCCCATGTCGAAAGTTCTCCGTACCAGTCAGCGGTTGATTGAGCTTCACTAAGTTGTCATCGGTGGTGATGTAATCTTTCCCGTCATTACTTGAAAAATTGCAAGACCAGTTGATCACCTGGTCGCTTTTGAAGCTGAACATATTCAGTTGTTTCTGGAGAACAGCCTTATCCAGCGAGCAGGATTTGGCGATTAAACGAATTAGATTATGTGTGACAACGCGCAGAGTTTCCATCTGATCATAATTTGCGTCACGAATCATTTGGACATATTCTTCGAACACATTATCGAACGAATCGAGCTCGCAGCCATTTGGTAGAACATGAAACAAGACATAATCCAACAGACAATACCAAACGTAGAAGTCATTTGGAACCCCAAATAGATTCGGTTTGTAACTACCATACCCGAAGAATCGCCTAGTTCGAACTAACGCATCCTTGACTCCAGTAGAAATTCCTCGGGATGATGACTGGCCGTTGTTGAATAGTTGCGTCTCGTATGGGAATGGATGTAGACCGAAATCAGACGCCACCTCAAAATGCTTTAGGAGTCGAAAAATGAAATGGTACTCCCTTTGCAAACACTTTGTGAATGCGTTCTCCGTTTTCCAGACGAGCAATTTGATAGGGTGCCACCTCAAATTAAAGCTCTTCAGTAAATCCGTTTCTCGATGATCAGTATGCTTAGTAATCTCGATTATCAACTCCTCCAAGCTCTTGCAAATGAAAAATAAGCTGACACTTGTCAATTGCAGAGGTTTGTCGAGGCGATTATCCCTGATCGACTTGACTTGATTGATCCAACGGTTGGCTAGATCTTGAAGAGGTTTGTCGAAAATTTCCGGTTTCAGAGCGCTGGTCATATCAGTAAATAACTTCACATCGCTACTGCTTATCAACATCAAATGGTTCTGATCAATGGTACCGAGTGGTTTATGCAAATAGGCTGGCGCTTTTGTAATCAACTTGTTCCTGTGAAGCTCAGTAATCTCCATTACCAAGCGGTTCAGCCACTCGAAAAGATTCGGAGAATTGTCCTTTGGGTCCTTCTTCCTTTGAGACGCTGTCCGCTCTACACTGTCCAATTTTCGGGCATACCCTTGCAGCGTTTCGTTCTTAAACCGATTATTCATGACCTCACGGCAGAGATCATTATAAGTTAGTTTTCGGGATTGTTTGAATTTCTCGACAAATTTCAGCAGCTCGATTCTCGTTTTGACTTGCCTTTCGTCTGCAGCCAATTGTTTGAACACATGTTCCAAGCACATTAGAAATAGCTCCCGGTGCTTATTCCTGTCTCTGGTCACTTCATCTAGCGACATACGATCGACGCGAAGTTCATCGCGTTGCACTTTAGTCCCATGTCGAAAGTTCTCCGTACCAGGCAGCGGTTGATTGAGCTTCACTAAGTTACTTGAACATTTTCCAATCGCTTTGTTATTCACCTGATGATTGGCCTTGCCCTGAAAGGAATAAAACAAACATCTTTTTAGTACCGGGTGGTCAGTCAATTTTTGATTTTTAAATTGCCGACTAAAATTTGAAAAATTTCCCGGTTATAATAAATATTCAGCGAAAAACTAATATATTCAATCGAAGATGAACTAGCCAGTTAACGAAAAATCTCCATTATGGAGTTAAAAAAAAAGAAAATATTCAATGATTCTATTTTTGTTTCGTGCCCAAGTGCAATATTTTGAATTTATTTTTGTGAGAAAATATTTTCAATAGTTTAAAAAAAATCAATAAAGCTGAAAGTAGAATTCAGCAGAATGGCTCTAAAATAAACCATTGATCTTTACGATGGGGACCAATTTTACACCTTCCAGCAAACAGATAGATATAGATAAGATGGCTCGTACATAATGACTTATACGAGTCAATTGAAATCTGCCGAAAATAAATAAGACCTAAGTTGATTCTTAACATAGAAGCGAAGATGCATAGATGGAGGGCAAGAGAAAGGAGAGTCAAAGGTGATGAATGAATCATATCGTCCGGCCATTTTCCACAGAGATGGAGCTGTTCCGCTGGTAGGAAGTGATAAAAATTTCCATAAATAAATTGAGAGAAGTGGGAATAATTCGCTTTCAGTGTATATTCAGGTCAAAAAAAGTGTACGACAACCTAAATAAATTTTTCAGGGACTTTGACGTTTCACAAATTACAAAATAGAGTACCTGACACAAAGAGCACCTGAGTACCTGAGTACCTTTTTTGTGTGCAGAATGTGTAAAAAAGGAGGGACTTTGAATATTAATCTAAATGACCAATCAGCCTCATCGCTGATAATTTATGAGTAGTTTTCGATAGATGTCACCGCAAAAAACTGCAGTGACATCTGATGGAACATGAAAGTAGAAGCTTGACAAAATGATTAATTGCAGAATTAGAAGCCGTCGAGATTGAATGCTCATGTTTACGCGAATACGAGATCTTTACGATGTTTTGATCACAACCGTCTCAAAATTATGGGTCAGTTAAGTTAAGTTAAGTTTTCTTTATTAGGAAGGCCTGAGCGGTGCCGGTGGTGTAGTGGTAAGCGTGGTTACCTCTCACCCCAGCAGGCCTGGGTTCAATCCCAGTCGGCCCCGCCGGGATGTTCTGAGGCATAAAATCTCTGATGACGCTTTCCTTCGGAAGGGAAGTAAAGCCGTTGGTCCCCGGTTCATGAGTTGATAGATCGATAGGTAGGGTGTGGAAGCTGCCTCCCTGGCGTCGGTAGCATTGGTGCTCAGCACGGAAAACAAGATCGACGGAAAACAAATCAAGGAAAAAAAAAAGGCTTTCAGCCTGAGGCTGGTTCGCCTCCGGTTATGGGTCTGTTATTAATTATTATGAATCTGTTAGTCCACCGTGTCAGTGAACTGTGATCGTATATAATATGGAGTAAAGAAAATGACATTATCGAGATATTTAGATGTATCAATTTGCATCACTTTTTTAAGCTCGAGGCCTCTTATTTGTGCAAAGCCCTGAACTAACAGAGCAACTGAGTCATGGAATATTTGTATGGCCACTAGGCCGAACGCTATTAGGCTGAATGGGTTATCAAACCGAATAGTAAAGACTGAAAGACTGTTTTTTAAATACAATGAAAATTGCTGTTTTGGAAGTGCATTTTCTACTGTTAAGATACTTTACAGCCCCACTGCTTTACTGTGAATTTCTCAAATTCCATGATGTGGTTTTGTGGTAATAGGCAAACATGGGTGGGCATTGGCCAAATTAGTATTTTTCAGATATTTAATAGATTATTCAATACTATTGTGTCGCCAGAGGCGAACCAGCCTAAGGCTGAAAACCTCCTTAATAAAGAAAACCTAACCTATTTCATTGTGATTAATCAACACTCAATGGGTAAAGTATAACATTTAGGGGTGAATTTGAAAGAAAGGGAACTATGAGTGTAGAGCGCACTGCCCACTGGATGATTCTGAAGCCTGGCCAAGTGAGTGGGTTATGGGTTTATTTGATTGTAAGTCATTTCTCGAAAAACATAAGTATATGACCATATCAGAATATTAAAATTATTTCAAAATTCTAATAACTTGAATTAAATTACTGTGTGCAAGTATGTTTTGAAAATTTGCATTTTCGGGGGATGGGGGCAAGAAGACCATACGGGGCGAGATGGGCCACCGTTCGTTTGGGCATAATACCTATTAACTCAATCTAATTTTTTTACAAACTTGTTGAAAATGCTACTAATATGCATCTCCATTAAAACCGTATCAAAATTCAATTACATGTCTAAGATAATAATGGAAATGTAACATTAGCTCATAATCTCTAGAATACAAGCATTGCATTCACTATATTACATTTTACTGATCCGCTGGTTCTACAGTGAGCAATACAAGTAACTGTTGCTCAAAGAACTTATGTTTATATTTCACATGATTCCTGAATGTTATTTTCTAGTGAAAACCTGTCAAAACGTTAACTTTTACTAGGGTGCTCATATTGCCCCGTATGGTTGTTGATCAGAGCAAAAACTGAAATTTTTCAAACATAATAATTTATTGAGTCTATCATATTTTATCCATATTTTGAACATTGTATATTATCAAACATATTCCAAAGCATGAGCATGATCACAGCTATCTTTCATTTATGAATGTTTTTCATGTGTTATGATGTGTTTTTCTTAGGGGGACCATATTGCCATTGTATTTGGCAAGTTATATATTGATACATTCAACTATTGCCATTTGATATTTTAAATTAGACAGATATAGGATGCGGAGGGTCCGCTTAGGGGAAACGTAACCCATGTTATGGCTTCCATTTATTAAATAGTTCTGATAGGCTAGTGAGAGAATGTAGTGCCCGTTCACTGATCACTTTTTAGATCAATATCAGATTCACATCGTTAGTATGTGGGGAGTAATACTTGTATGGCCTATTCAGTATAAACTCACTCTCTTGGAATAAAGATAAATTCGAAGCATACTCCAGACTTCTCTCCTTGACCGGAGAAACGACGTGTTTTTTTGTAAAAGTGACTGAAAAAGCGAAAGACCCTCAAAACCAGAGGAGAAAGTAGCTTTTGGCAGCGACACCAACCATGGAAAACAGTGTTAATTTTCACGGTGAAGGAAGGTAAAACGTAACTTACCGGCACTTCGTTAATACCACCCATCGACGGATACGATTGAGTTCTCTTCTCACCGGAGTCAGCGGAGCAATTAAATTCTGCCGTTTTTTCCACGCTTACATCATGAAGTGTGCGGTCCGGTTCAATTAAATCTACTATTGTAACAGATTATTAATTTCAACTATACCAGGTAAGTAATTTAAATGCTCTCACTTGTGCTATTAGGAGTAAAAGAATCCCCACCACTTTCATCTGACTTGACATCTGCTCTCTGATCACGTTCCGGTTCCATAGCACTATCTTCATGTTTCTCCCCAATTTCATCGCTGAAAATTTTCTTCTGGGCATCCATCACCTGTGAATCACTGTGAAGAAAATGTATGTCGTAATGAAAAATTCACAACAAAGCTTCACAATCTTACCGGTACAAATGAATGTAAAAAAACACAAGAGACTTTTCTTCTTTCTTTATTCAAGGAATTAAACAATGGACTCACATTAAATTTTGCACCTTCAAGCTGCTACGTCTGCTTTTATACTGATTCTTTTCGTGTCCAACAGATCCAACCTGGTATATTGTTAAAACGAAGGGCTGCATGTATTGGTGCACTTCGTTTTTTACTCGGCTTTCATTACACTTCGCACGGTTCGTTTCTTTCG